TTTTTATCTCACGCGTCATTATTATTGCGCAATTTTAAAGTTTTAACTAAGCATTGAAATATTTGTATTGATATTATAACACTTTCATTTTCTAAAATCGTAATTTCTTTTTCAACGGCAGAAACAACTAAGTATTGCATATTGGTTACGTACAACAGCCTAGCTCAGTGTTAGCTTCCAGGTCTTGGGATCGAGTCCCGATGCTGTCTAAGTATTTATGAATTGAAACGCCAAATATGAAAATTGTTGACGTATTATTGGATATTAAATTTGATTATTCAAATTAATTATGAACTAGTAGTTCCTGTACCAAAAATTATTATTTTTTTAAAAACGATTAACATTTTTGAAAAAGTTTTACTTAAAAAAAATCAGACTTTTGAGAAACTATTACAAAATTACTTTTTTTTGAAAAAAAAATATTATATTTTCTTTACTTTGAAATATTTTGAAAATTCTGAACTTTTTTTTAAAGCAATCGTACTGCTTTAACTGCATAGAGACGAAATGTCAAAGCGCGTAAGCGCCGTGTCGCCGTCTAACGGTTAAACATTGGTACGGAACCCATAGGAATGTAAACAAAATTTATACTTATTGTTAAAATCTCTATAAAATATCTGATAATTTGATGTGCATATGTTAATGATAATTTTTGACCGCCAAATGATATTGTTTTTTACTTTTTTCATTAGATCTCCGAAACCGCTAGACCTCCCTGCATGATAATTTGATCAATTCTTCATCTTGTCAATACAAGTAAAATGTTTTTTGAATTATTAAAATCGGACGCTCCGTTCTCTTAAAAACTGAGATACCATTTTTGGCACTTTTTGCCCCGTATCTTCGGAACGGCTAGACCTGCCCTCGCCAAAAACTAATCAGCACGTCTCCTTATCAATACGAATCGAATATTTTTTGAATTATTCAAATCGGTTGATCGGTGTTCTCGAAATCGTCGACGAAAATTTGTATCCGCACACACCACTCATACACGCACATACACACACACATACATCCATTTTTTCTAAGGTATGCCAAAATGTTCAGAAGGTTTTGAAACGTAAAGATATATAAAAATTTTCATTTTCGATTTTTTTGCGATTACTATAACTTGCCCTATGGGAAGTTAAAAATTGCTTAAATGAACAATAGCTCTATTTAACTAACTATTTATTAAATAGTTTACATTAACTTTTTAAATAAGGCAAAATGATCTTCTCAGTTGATTCCATGCTGTACAGAGATTTAACATCATTACATGAATGGGCAGTATATGTTCAATAACCATTACCACTACCATTTCCTAAGAAATTTAGATCCGCATTCAAAATATAGAATACAAATTGATCTTACGAAACTAACATCATGCGTGTCTACTATCATTGCATAATTTGACTCATTCATGAAAAAAATTAAAACAAGTCAGAACCGTCAACTGATTTAAGATCCCGTTTCCATGAATCATAAAAGTCATGGTACTCGGAGACCTTCAATCTTGATGATGGTAACGGTTTGGTAAAACCTCTTATCACCCCCTACTTGGATCTTATCATTGATGCATTCGAAGTAATTCTACTTAATATATAAACGAACAGTACCTTGGCGAAAACATGACAGTATCGTAAGAACAACCGTTGTGGAATATCTTTCTACAGAAGACGTAACAAAACGTCTTCATCTCCTCCAAGAATAGGAGAAAGTTAACAGTGCAGTGGAGTGGGATCAAAACAGATATATAACCAAGTGGACTTTAAAAATATTGTTTTAGTCTTTGACCTAACATCAAACAGAGAGTTTTCATTTTTTATTAGTTGGTGATTTCCATCGAACTTGAAACCGAGCTGTAGAAAATAAAGGTTAGCTTTAGTGTTAGTTTTTTTAGTGACTGCAATTAAGGAATTTATACAATATTATATTGTATTGAATTTATAATTGATTGCTTATATATATATATATATATATATATATATAACAAATGTATTCCGAGTGGATAATTTGAACAAACAACACTCTGTTTTGCACTAATTTATTAAATAATAATTTTCACAAACGATTCGAGACTAGGTTTGTCTCATCATCAGTGTGTTATAATTTAAAATTTAAAATATGCAAATCTAAATAAGCATGGATAACACAAAATGCTAATTTAGATTTCTATATTTTAAATTTTAAATTATAACACACTGATGATGAGACAAACCTAGTCTCGAAACGTTTGTGAAAATTATTATTTAATAAATTAGTGCAAAAAAGAGTGTTGTTTGTTCATATTTCCAAATTATATATATATATATATATATATATATATATTTAATACTTTTATTATTATTCAAAATTTTATTTTTTTAGACTAAAAGCCTTCCCTTTTCCCAAAAAATTATTAAATTTCTAACATATAATTATTTTCAACTATTACTTCTACTTTCTACGATTACTTTCCTTCTATTTTCTATTATTTTCTACTAGTATAATATTATCTATTCGGTGATATAGGATTGTCCTCTTCTTCAGGAACTATTAGAAACAAAAAAAAATTAATTTTTAATTAATAACATTTTTTAATTATTTGAAAATTAAAGAAATTTACTTTTTATTTTTGAATTATTGAATCAATTTTTTAAATAAACACCCATTAAATTATACGTCCATTAAAAATTATAATAAATTTGCACTATTTGTGTGTATCCCAATTCAATTGATTCAATTGTTGAATCAATTTTTTAAATAAACACTCATTAAATTATACGTCCATTAAAAATTATAATAAATTTGCACTATTTGTGTGTAACGTATAAAACTAAACGTATAAAATATTTATAAATAAAAAATTGATTTTTCGAAAAAAAAATAAAGCATTTAGTTCCAAAAAATTAAATAAGCATATTCGAACTATAACAATATTTAATATTTTAATCGTATTCAATATACAATAAAGAATGAAAATAAATAAATTAAGCTTTAATGTTAACTTTTGCCACAAACTTTTTGTTTTTCTAAGGATATCCAATAAATAATTAATTATAAAATAATTCAATAAAATAAAAAATATGCGTATTCAATCAGAAGTTCGTACATACATCTTACATACAACTTTTTTTATTTATAAAATTCAAAATTTATCAATTAGGCCAAATAATTATTAAAATAAAACTTGCAATTGTAATAACCATGCCATCTGCAAAATTAAATTAAATTTTAAATTTTAAATTCTTTTGAAAATGCTATTTTGGTGTTTTACATAATTGGTAACGTCTTTAATAAAAATCGTATTTATTTGTGAAAATATATTGAAAAAAATCGTATTTTTTATTCTAAATTACGTTTATTTAATAGAATTTTAGAATAAATAAAAAAAATGATTTTATAATATCATGCTCTACAAATCTTTCGTTATTTTTATTTTGAACATTGTCCGAATTATTGAATTAACCCTTTCCACTCGTGAATTGCAAGATTTATATGGATTTTGCCGGCATCCGAGTGGAAAAGGTTAATATCAGATCATACGAAAAAAACATGTACATATTATAATCGATATAACGCTGAATAGTTATAATTTATTGTGAATCATATTTAAAAAGAAAAGGTAATTCAGAATCTGATTAGATTACTTTCCTTTATATTTTTACAAATGTCCATCGTTAGCTCGATTTTGGCAAGACTACTTTCGTTTTTATGTCCTTTTTTAAACATCGAATATTACATGAGACTTATTATTAGATCATGTGCAAATCTTATGTAAATCATTAATTAATGTAATTATAGTAGACAAAGATGGATATTGAAAAGTACCATTTTTTAATATTGAATTAATAAGTTTATGTAATATAAAAAAAAGTTTAAAATAAATGACTAGATTGTCACGCATTTAAATCTTCAATTATTGCTTTATATGTAATTTTTTTTTAATATATTATATTACAACCACATCATAAGAAAGTAAAAATTATGGTAAAAATATTATAAACAAAATGATGCAATTGTGAGAAAAATTATAAACGATATAATTCCGAATAATTATAAATTATTATGAAAAAAAAGTAATTTAGATTGTGATTAGATTACTTTCCTTTATATGTTTTTCAAATGTCCATAATCGGTTGTTCGATTTTGGAAAGACCACTTTCGCGTCATTTCCTTTTTTGAAAATCGACTATTACACGCAAGATAAATTTTGTACGAATCTTATGTAAATTATATTCCATTGTTTAGTTTACGTCTGAATAATATATCGTCACACGTTGATTCACTTTCACTTTCACTCCAAGTGTCGTATTTAAACAATTGGATGAGTTTTAAGTACTTTTTTATGTTCTACAAGCTTAATTAATTTGCTTTTATTTTTTATTATTTCATTATTATTATTATTATTTTATAATCCTTAGAAAAACAAAAAGTTTGTAGCAAAAGTTAACATTAAAGTTTAATTTATTTATTTTTATTCTTTATTGTATATTGAATATCATTAAATAGCATAGAGCTTGATTTACTCCATATTAATATGAAATACTTATATTAAAAATAATTTATCTCATTAAAAATATTGCAACACTTTTGTATATTTTGCTTTAGAAGTAATATTAATAATAAAAAGCCAATGAATTATATAAGTTAAAAACAACTTATAGTTTTTACAACTCAATGTATCATTTCATATTAGACTAATTAAGTTGATAGTGCAAAGTGGCACACGAGTTAGTATTTACCCAGCAAATTATTTATTTAAATATTGTTTTTGCATCTACAGTATTCTTTTCACAAACGTGTTAAAATTATTTTCACTTTCAATATACTCGTATGTACAAGTAAATTTGCGAGTATGCGAATATGTTTCTTTATACTGAGAACTGAGAGAAAGTGCAATCGAGACAAGGCGCCGATGCATGCAATGAAATTTCTTCGAACAAATCTTGATAACATTTTCATTTTCAGTAAAACTCTTATTATATTAATTTCAATTTACTCTAAAATTCAGTTATTTTGTTATTTTTCAGTTTACCATGCGGATAATTGTATTTTTGGGCGGACTAGCCCTACTTCTTGCGATAGCGAAAGCAGAAGAAAATTCAGGATGGTCTTGGGGAGGAGAAAAAAAGGACCAAGTTGCAGAAACGAGTGAAACGTCAACTACTGTACCTCAAAGTGATAGCGGCACAGCCGAAAAAAGTTCTGATGAAGTGATTCAACCTAGATCGAAATCAAATATCGAAGCAGATTCAGAACAAATTATAGAAGATATTCTTGCATCAACGAGACAAGGAAGAAATTTAGACGGTTACGATGAAGTATATAGCGATCCAAGTGTTCAACAGGCACTTCAAAACGGTGATGATGGCGAGGCAAGAAATATTATCAGAGATAAACTCTGCTACTTAGGACTGATGCAGGTTTGTTTTCTTTTTTTAACCTTAAATTTTTTACTTTTTATTTTCCATTTATTAATTTTATTTAATTTTTTTCAGTGCGATGAAGCTATAGATCCAAAACGCCCATACATATCACCTGAAAATTTAATTTACGCCCAACCTGTCGCTTTGAAGCCATACGGTCGACCAATTGCTTCTGTACCACTAAGAGGACCACCACGTGCATATGGACCTCCAAAAACAATGCCATTCCCTCCTCATATTAGCGGACCATCATATTCATCAAATCGCCAAGGTTATGGTCCACCAAAGCAGGGTCCTTACAGACCATTTGGACCTCCAAAAGAGTTCCCACCTGGTCCTATATACTCCGCAACACCACCCCCGTCTTACAGTGGATCATCATTCCAATCGTCGCAATTTTCACAATCGTCTAGTTTTAACAGACCACAAATTGGAAATAAATATGAAATTGCTGAAGTCGATACCTCGCCTTATGAATTTCAAGCTCCCTTCTCGAGCGATTTGAAAAAGCCTTCATTCGCACCAAATGCAGGTTTAAATTCTGGTAGTGCTAACGCAGATGGAGGAGTACAGAAGCATGTTCATCATCATTTCCATCATAATGCAGATGCAGCCGATCAAAAAATTCCGACAGTAATCGTCAATAATCCTGGACTTCCTTCTAATTTCTTAGGATCAAGTAATAGTTTGAACTCATTATCAAGCAATAGCGGCTTCAATCAGTTGACATCCGGCTATGGCAGTATTAAGCAATATAAAGATATAAAAGATTTTGCTGGAGTTAACAGTCTAAATGGTTACAAAGGCGTAAATGCAGGATTGGGATCAGCAGCTGGCTCCAATGGATTATATGGAACTGGAATTAAGCAATCATTTGAATCCTCCGGATTGTCTGGTTATGGTGGTGTAGGGGGAGCAGGTGGTTTACCAACTTATGATTCTGGAAATGCTTTCAACGTTGGGTCAAACTCATTTTCTTCTAATGGGTTTAGTTCAAGCACATATGGCGGACAAGGAGCTTCTAGCACCTTTTATAAAAAGGAACTAGACGTCAGGGGACCTGCCTATGCGTCGCAATTGAATGGTGGAGCTTCATACCAAGGAGGATATCAAAATAATTACCAAGGAAATGGTTTGGATTGCGTATGTGTACCATTCAACCAATGCCCAGCTCCTGATGTACTTGGTAGAAAGGATGATCTTTTATTACCAATTGATCCCAGAAATCTTGGATCTAACATTGAAGCACTCGCTGATGACTTGGTCGTCACAGACGGAAATGGTACTATGTCTATAATACGTGTCACTAAAGAAGCAGATAATTCAACAAGTGCTGAAGCCGATGAAAATACTAAAAAAATCTCTAAAAGGTCAGCTGCGCAAGATAAACAGGATTCTTCGTCAGGAGATAAAAAGGTAGAAGCGGTGAGTTACTTTCATAATATTACTCCAAATAATTTTGCTTCAATAAAGGTATTATGGGTAAACTTTACGTCACAAAAAAGACTTATATTTATTGTCCAGTTTATTCCTTGTTTAACAAATAACAAACTTATCTATGGTACGTAAACAATACAACCATAAACATTCAGACAAACCACCGCCTAACATTCAATCCGACTAAACAAATTATTTTATCTTATTTAGAATGAAATATTATAATAAGATTCACATTTTACACATTACTACGGAAAGCTCTTTAATATCTTTTAGCGCGGATTTTCATACGACGGAGTAAGTAATGGTCTCAAAAATAAAAATATCATTCCTACGGTGGGCGTTTCCTTTGGGCTTCCTTCTGGAAGTGGTCCTTTGAATCATTTTGGCCCATCAATTCATGACCCTTACGGTAATGGCGGACCAATAAGAGCAGGCGGCTTTGACCTTGGCTTAGGTTACGTTAATCCATTCTTAGCAATTCAATTAACAAAAAATGAATACGGCGAAAAAGTGATAAAACCTATCGTTAACTTTCATATAACACCAAATGAAAGACTCGTAGGTAAACTGCATGGCATAAAGCAACAGTTACATCTTCTGCATCACACGCATCATGTACACCATAATCACCATGGTATCCCTCCGCCGCCTCCAATTTACCATCATCCTCCACCCCATTTCCATGGCCCTCCTCACCATCAATATGCTCCTCACCATGTCCCGCATTATTATTCACGCCCGCCGCCACCCCACCATAATTTCCATGACGACCATGAACTTTCTCATCCTCCGCCTAATGATTACTACGACTATGGAGATGACGATGTGGATTTTAATTCATACGGAGAACGCCGTTCGCGGCAGCATAACGCCCGAAATGCGACCTCTGCTCTGTCCCAATACCAGGATCAAAGGATTTCCCTTCCTAAACAAGCTCCGGGTACTGAGCCCGGCGCTGGTACTGTCACCTTTCCAAACTCACGACGCAAGCGTGACACAACAACTGTGAAGACTGACACGACACGCACTAAGGTAAGAAAGGACCTGACGAATCTGCAACTGACTAACCTTCTCTCACTTGTCTGAACATGGTTAACACATGGTACGTAGGACGCCTCTTCCTAACTAAAAGTGATGTATTTAACAAAATAATAACGATACGCATCTAAAACCGTTCGGAAATTGTGAATTGTTTTTCTTAGCCTAATCTAACTACTTTCCAACAAATTAGTTTAATATTCGTGTTTTAAAATGAATCGATTTACTAAAATAAACATTTCTATTTCAGCGACAAGCTGGCTATTTCAATGGCTTGCAGCAATGCGGACCGCAACAAGTATGCTGTAGGCGACCCAGACAGCAGCAGTTCCAACAAGGAAGAGCACAATGTGGAGTCCGAAACTCACAAGGTATTAATGGCCGTATTAAGAATCCAGTTTATGTTGATGGAGATAGTGAATTTGGCGAGTATCCTTGGCAAGCAGCTATTTTGAAGAAGGATCCAAAAGAATCCGTGTACGTGTGCGGAGGTACTCTGATTGATCATCAGCACATTATCACTGCAGCTCATTGTATAAAAACGTAAGTTTGATCACGTTGGAAGTATTAGAATCTATAAACTTTCATTTAATTTATCTTTTGTATCGCAGTTACACCGGCTTCGATCTGCGCGTACGTCTGGGAGAATGGGACGTGAATCATGATGTAGAGTTTTATCCATACATAGAACGTGATGTCATATCAGTTCACGTGCATCCAGAATACTACGCCGGAACCCTGGACAACGATTTAGCTGTTTTAAAATTAAACCAACCTGTTGATTGGACGCGAACACCTCACATCAGTCCTGCATGTTTACCCGACAGACACAGTGACTTTACAGGAGCCCGCTGTTGGACTACCGGATGGGGAAAAGATGCTTTCGGAGATTACGGAAAATACCAAAACATTCTTAAGGAAGTCGACGTACCTGTAATTGGCGATGCACAATGTCAAGCACAACTACGACAGACGAGATTGGGATATAGTTATAGATTGAATCCAGGTTTCCTCTGCGCAGGAGGAGAAGAAGGAAAAGACGCCTGCAAAGGCGATGGTGGTGGACCTTTGGTTTGTGAACGCAATGGAGTCTGGCACGTAGCAGGTGTTGTATCCTGGGGTATTGGATGTGGCCAACCTAATGTTCCTGGTGTTTACGTCAAAGTGTCACACTACATTGACTGGATAAACCAGATTGTAGGACGATATTAAACTGAATTTCTAATCTTGAAGTTAATTTAATTTTTGTAATGTCGGTTTACACCAATATAAGTAAGTCATATTTATTTTAATTTAATATTGAATAAAAATGTACGCGTGCAATGATATTTGTAAGAATCGCGTTACGAAAGTTTTCTATAATCTTTTGGATTTGGAAGCCACACTATTCTATACACTTTGAAACCTTGTATGTATGTATGTATTTGTTAAAGATAATATTCACTTAGAATGGTCTGTCTTCCAAATCTGGAATAAAAAAGTAATGCTACAAGCAAACCATTATATGATACATGTATTTATAATAATTAACTGTGAATATTTTTATTAATAAAATAATAATATGAAAAATAGTATTATTCATTTAAAAATATGATATAAATAAAAACAATATTATTAATTTAAGATGCAAAATTTCTAAATGTCCAATAAAAAAACTCCTTTTACTCAAACTCAAAAATGAATTTTAATAATTGAATTTGATACAGGCAGCTTAATTTAAAAGCCATTGAAGTTTTTATTAAAATAAACAAATGAAAGATGTCAATCTAAGGAAATCAATATCATAGTTTTGATAAAGTTCTGATAAAGCAAATTTGGTATTGTTTTTATTGCAAACAGTATTTCAAATGGAGGATGACAATATATCATTAAGTACATTTAGAAAGCTATCATCAATATCAGCATTTAGAGCTCAATTACCATCCACACCAACCTCTACGCAAGATACAATTTGGAATCAAATCATTAATGAATATGAAGACAACCGTGCTGAATACTTTAAACAAAAAAAGTTAATAGAATTGCCTATTCTTGTTGTAAATGAAGGTAAGAATATCATAAAAAATAAACAAAGTTTCTATTATGAATTATATTCAAAAAAGTATTCATATTTTATATAGATGTGGAATATTTAAGAAATCATGTTCTACCAGAACTATATCCAGCTCTGGAAGATACTCTTATAAAAGCCATTCAATGGAATTGCTTGCAATGGCAGAAATGTTACTTCAATGGAATAGATAATATTTCAGAGTTTCTATGGAATAGTAATAAAAAACATCCTGAAAGAATAGAAGATTGGAAAAGAAAGTTTGAAATGCCTTGGGTAATTGATCTTTTGAAAGAACGGTAAGCAACAATATATCAAACAGTATAATGAATTAGGAAAACTATATTTTTAATACACTATACAATTTACTTTAATCAATATCAGTAATTTAACTATTTTATACATCATTTATATTTATATTGATTCATAGACCCCGACCCATATTTCCTTTATCATGGCTGTGGTCTGAAGACTATGCAGTCCTAGTGATTCAAAAATGTTATCGTGCATATAAAGATCTCAAGGGCAGGGATGACATTCTTGAATTACGGAACTTCTGGAAGGTAGGTTTTTCTAAGTCTCAAAAGTTTTTTAAATTGGTTTTGAAAGATTGTTTTTAAAATTTTCAAAAATTATTTTTAAAGAAAATGTGAATTTATATCTAAAATCAATTCATTCTGTTTCACAAATAGTTTTCATATCAAACTTAATTTTCAGGCACTTGCTGAGGATAATAAAAGAGATGAAGAAACTAGAATTGAAAGAGAAAATGAACTTAAAATGATTTTATTAGCTGAAAAAAAGGCAAGAGAGCTAGCTCGTGATGAACTAGCCCACTCAATAGAATTAGCTAGACAAGCAAGAAAAGAAGCCAGAAAACTTCAACAGTTAGCAGAAGATGAATTTAAATCTAGAAGAATAATTGAAATGAGGTTAGCTTTAGCAGAAAGAAGACAAAGACGGGCAAATCGGATTGTTATAGAATCTAAGAAACCATCAGAACAAACTGAAAACACCGATAACATAACAGAAAATGTTGATGAAGATATTCTATCAAATATCACTACTTGTGGCTAAATTGTAAAATATATAAGTTCATTACCTTGATAATTAAAGTCTTTTTGAATCAACTTTAATATTTTCATATAAACTTGGACTCACTGGCGTTCCTAAGCCCATTGTTAATTTGATATTTGGTTGTTCATTTTCTTTTGCAATACGTGCCAATTTACATGGACTTGATAATATTTTAACAGGCAACATCGGTTCTTCAGGTTTTTCACCTTTCTCTAACTTCTCTCGCAAAATAAATTCTCGCAGCAATGGAGGGCACTCAATGAAACGCGGCAGTATCTAAAAATAATGCTAACTTTAACATTCATTCATGTGGAAAAATATTTTATAATCTTCATATAATATAAAATTTAACCTTTTCTTCTGCTACTTTATCAATTTTACAAAATTCTTCCTCTTCAGATTTTGGAATCAATTTATAATCTGCTTTGTAGGAAGTACTATATATTTCAACAAGTTCTTGATATTTTTTGCCACGAAATACTTTTTCAACTGTAGCTTTAACCTTTCGAGGATCCTAGTAGAAGTAGAAAATTATTTTAGTCACAAAATTAAAAGTTAATTGATAAGACAATAATTAAGTAAAAGTAAAATTGAAAGATTTAATACAATCAATAAATAACTTTGAACTATGCTTAAAACTTATGATTGAATAGACAAAATTCAAATACTTATTGTTAATTAAAAATACAATAAAATTCAAGAAAATAATACAAATACTGATAAGTAATTGAGACTTTTTTTCAAAATAGATTCTGAAATATTTCTTCAAAAATAAAAATTGCGGATTTATACTAGTTTAATTATTACCTCATTCGATGCAGCTTGTACTTTCATTATCCTATAAAAACATTTTTCTGGATAACGTTGATGTCCACTGCGAATGACAACTCTACCTACACCAAAATTTTTCAAATTTCCTAATATCTCCCATAATGTCTTTCCTTCAAAATTTGTAGTTCTACCAATTAGTTTTACAGACATATTCACCTTTCAATTAATTGATAACAATTAATATATTTTAATTATACAATAAGTCTCATGTGCTTCTCTCCGAGCATATAACCACAACTGATTTCTTTTCATAGAACTGTCACATTTTTAGGTTAGGTTATTCTTTAAGAACTAACATTTAGGTTATAGATTCTGTTTTATACAAATTTACATTTCATAGTAATTTTTGTAGCAATGGTTGTAGCAATAGGTTTAGAAGGAAGCGCTAATAAATTAGGCATTGGAATTATCAAAGATGGAATTGTGCTATCAAATTGCAGACGTACTTATATTACACCACCAGGAGAAGGTACTCTCAAGCCCATTTTAGCAACAGGACAACTATTGTTCACAAATATTTGACTTGATTAATAACACTTTTTGTATAATTATTGATAGCAGTAATTGATATCTTGTTACGATTAATATTTTAAATACTCTTTTATACATGAGTATTGTCCGGTATAAAAGTATTACACTTTACATTTTAAATACACCCTTAATCACGATTCTTGTCGTACAGAATTGCTATATGAAACCAAAACTGATATTGAATTTATCATAGCATACATAAATTTTCCATAATATCAAAATATATATTTCTATTTTCATACAAATTATTCATCCCTTTATTTCATTATATACTATATACTGATAATTTAATGAAACATAACATCATTTTCTGTATATTATAAAGAAGAATCCAATTCCAATTGTTATATATTTTAGGCTTTTTACCAAGGGAAACAGCCCAACACCATAGAGCCAACATAATCAGTTTAATACAAGAATCTTTGCTCAAAGCCGCAATTAAACCACATGAAATTGATGTCATTTGCTACACAAAAGGTCCAGGAATGGCCCCACCCTTAGTGTCTGTTGCAATAGTTGCTAGAACACTTGCTCAAATTTGGAACAAGCCAATTTTGGGTGTTAATCATTGCATAGGACACATAGAAATGGGAAGATTGATAACAAGTGCAAAAAACCCAACTGTTCTTTATGTTAGTGGAGGTAATACGCAGGTTATTGCATATTCCTCAAAGCGGTACAGGATATTTGGTGAAACAATTGATATAGCTGTTGGTAATTGTCTTGATAGGTTTGCTCGAGTATTAAAATTATCTAATGACCCAAGCCCTGGATATAATATAGAACAATTGGCCAAGAAGGGAAAGAAATTATTACCATTGCCATATGTGGTCAAAGGTGATTGCATTCATTAATTTCAAATTTAAAATTTAATATAATATATATCCATATAATATACAGAATCTTATTACTTATATTTCAGGCATGGATGTTAGTTTTTCGGGCATTCTTTCTTATATTGAGGAACAAAGCCATCATTTATTAAAAGAAACAAGTAATGATAATGCATGGACAAAAGAAGATTTATGTTTTTCACTTCAAGAAACAATTTTTGCAATGCTTGTTGAAACTACAGAACGAGCAATGGCTCATTGTGGTTCCAATGAGGTAATAACATTTAATATCATGAAGTTCATGATCTGATGAACTGAATTCGTCATGAAGAATATTAATGATTATGATTGATCATTAACATTCCTGTAATTTTAATACAATACTTAATAGCTATTTTGGTATTATAAAAATAAAAAGCTTAGTCCTTATAACATTTAAGCTAATTTATGAAACATAATGGCTATCTAATATTTCATTTATATTACAATTATTTTTTTATTATGATTTCTTTACTTAATTTTAATTATCTTAACAGGTTCTAATAGTTGGAGGTGTTGGATGTAATGAAAGACTTCAAGAGATGATGAATGAAATGTGTAAGGAAAGAGGTTCAAAGTTGTTTGCTACTGATGAAAGATTTTGCATTGATAATGGTGTTATGATTGCTCATGCTGGTTCAGAAATGTTCCGTAGTGGCATAAGAATGCCTTGGATAGAATCTACATGCACCCAAAGATTTCGAACAGATGAGGTTGAAGTTACTTGGCGTGATGATTGATCACTATTCTTATTGTAATTTTAATTTGATATTTAATAGCTATTTTTGTATTATAAAAATAAAATGCTTAGTACTTATAATATATAAAATAATTTATAAAACTTAATGGTTATCTAGTATTTCATTTATATCACAGTTTTCAGGCTTATTAACCTCGTTTACTAAATGCATTAATTCTTTCATGATTTCCCAGTTATCATTCAAACTAGATGATATTTCACTTTTAATTGTCATTAATGTTTTCAAATTTTTTTGAATTTCCACGTTTGAAGTAAGTGGTGTCTTCACTATTTTGTCAGGAGATTTTGACTTTTCAATAATATTCTTTAGCTAAAAATTTAAACATTTTTCATAGTAACTTAATTATCGGGAATTATTTTTGAAAATCTACAGAACACAAAACAATTTTACCTTCTTAAGTGTATGCTGCATATGATTGTCCAAATTACTACTCTCTAAGTTTAACTTTGATGTAAACTTTGTCAAATGCTGCTCATATTCAGCAATGTCTTTTTCTAAAATTCTAGTTTGTAAAAACACAGTATGAGCCATTTTATACCAATCTGCTAAACATTCAGTTGTTTGGTTAACAGCAGGCAAGATATCATTGTCCAGTAAATTTTTTATCCTTCGACCTGTTTCCATTACCTAAAAAATTTAATGCAATTAATAAGAATTACTATTTTAAAATATAATCAACAATGTATTTACTTTAATTCTTTCAAGAACATGAAATTGCTCGTCATTATATGTAAGTGTTCTAGTAGCTCTGTCTCGCAATAAATGATTCCAAGATTCACGAAGTCTTTCAATTAAAAGTTTTGCCTTATGATCAGCTCTTGATTCTTTTGGAGAGTTAATAGAACGAGTAGCACTTTTCCATTCACAGCTATAATATCAATACAATAATTAATAAGGTTTTATCAATATTGAATTTAACATTTAAATCATTAAAAAATCAATACTCTTTTTTAATACCTTAATGTATGTTCAACAACATATCGATGGTGCAATTGTTGTACAGCTGGCATTAAATTTTTACGTAATTCATCAGAAGGCACTTTGAGATCTGTGACATCTTTGACTGTGTTAGCATTTAAATATTTAAGTATATCTTTCACAAATTTAGAACTTTTAGTATATGTTTCTGCATTATTTTCCACAGAGTTCGTGTAATCCAACAAATTTTCACAAGTGCAATGTAACTTAATTAGTTGCTCTTCAACTAACTCAGTGAAATTTGTCACACAAATATTCATAAGGTGGTTGGATAATGTCAGATTTTCAATTCGCCGTTTATATACATGACCTACACTACATGCTGCTTTAGACATTGTTGCATCATTCTCAACAGAAACTAAATTTGGAAAAACAGGAAACTTTGGAATTTCCAGGTAAGGTGAGAGTAAAACATTGTTGTTATCACGAGAAAATAGCATAATAGGTTTCAATGATGTTGTTTCTGGATATCCTCTACCAGGTGTACTATCTTCTAAAATTGCAGACAATGGTTTATTTCCAAATAAAAGTAATTGACTGGCAGGTACCATGCCAGTTTGCTCTTGAATGTGATATTGCAAATCACTTAAGGTATCTTCTAAATGCATGTACACCTAAAAACAAACTAATTAATTAATATTATAACATATTATTAAAGTTTATATTTTGTTACCACATACCCTTAAACTCTTTGCTTTATTCACATAAAATATATGTACTATTTTTCTAGCTAAAAATAATGTTACTTCATTGAAAAACTTTTCAAAACTCCAGATTCTGTTGGTATCTACTTCAAGCAATCCAGCTAATAAAGGCGTAACAATTTTTTTCAACCTAATAATATTGTTTCATACTTTACTAGTTATTATTGATATATTGATATACATATCTCTTATAAAATTATGATTACATACCCATCAGATAATTCACAATGTACTGGTAGTTCTCGGCCCCAATCAATAGGACCATTATCTGAAGTTTGAGTTCCACTGATGACTCCAGAAGCCTTCTCCGTAGTGATAAAATGCATTGTTTCTTTATTTTTGCGACCACCATATGGACGAAATGGTAGGTTGCCAGTAGCCACATGATATAGGGTTACTCCTTTACAAATCAATAAAAAAATAATTATGTTTCAATTATATAGGGCATTGATGTATTCTTTTTTATGATTTAAATTTAAAATTTATAATTGATTTAATAAATAAAATTTATTAAAACTAAATATGCATGAAAAAGATCCAATAAAATATTAATAGAATATTTTCATTATTTTACTACACTAGCAATAATGATTTATTTAGAAATGATAAATAATCTCACCTATTGACCATAAATCAACTGTAGCCCCAAAAGTTTTTCCAACAGGTTTTCGTAAAACAGCTCTTTCATACATATCTGGGTGGAGATATTCTTCGGTACCATATAAAGACATAAACTGTTGGTCTTCATGTAACTCTCTAGCAGCACCAAAGTCTGTCAACTTATATATGGTTCTTCCATCTTCAGCAATAAATTTCATAATATTACCAGGTTTTAAATCTCTATGTACAAGATTGTTGTCTCGTAAGTGCTTCATACCTAAAAATATAGACAGAATAGGTTACATTCACATCCAATAATTGAAATTATCGAAACATATTGAAATTGACATCAATATAAAGCAATTTCTACTATAATTATTTATATACATACCAGCACTCAAGTGTTCAACAACAAGGAGAAATTCATTTTCTTGCAAACCATAAGTATTTTCTGGATCATCAAGAATGTTAAACAGACTGCCCCCAGTACATAACTCCATTACAATAACTTTACCTCGACCTTCTTGTTCTTCTTCAATTGCAAGAAGTTTCACAATATTTTCATGTTTAACTTTTTTAAGTACCTATAACAAAATTATTCTGTTAGTAAATTAAACTAGGAATATATGCAATTAGATGAAAAAGTAGTAATACCTGCAAAATTTAAAAAGCTTTTCAGATATTTTTTACGAAAACGAGATCAATCTTAGACAATTGTTATCACGAAAAGATATAAATGCAGATTCAAGGAGCTATTTCCAGATAAATAGTAGTAATGTAAACAAACATATTGTAATTGATACTTAATTTAGTATAGTACCATTATAAATAAAAGTAATAATATTATATATTTATATATCTTTAAATTACCTCGAATTCACGCATTTGAACATCTTGAGGTCTCATGTGACTCAACTGATTGAATGTTTTCACTGCAACGACTTCCCCATTGTTTTTGTTAACACCTTGGAAAACAGCACCGGTAGCACCTTTACCTAATACACTTGTTGTACACCAAACATAATTTGTAGAACCTCGTAAAAACGACATTTTGTATATAATTCACTGAAAAAACCGTCGTAGATAAAACATATCATGTAATAAAAATATTTATCAACTTTCTATGATTAACTACGCATGACAAGTAGTTTGACGTTAGTGTTGTTATGTTAAGGTTGGCGATTTTGTTGCTGGTTTGGTGTGAAGTTGTCATGATTCGACAGCGGCAACACCAGAAAGCGCGCCATTTTTAAATGCCAAAATTTAAATCCACCATGAAATACCGAAATCCTAGAATAACAAACCCGAATAATGAGCGATTGTGTAAATCCTCATTTATAAAATATTCGGATGATATATTTAAAGAATTCAATATAATTCAATCAATTTACAAATGAAAACAGATATATTTTTATTAAGTGAAGGGGAACAAGGAAGCAAATAACTATTATCTAATCAAGCTCTTCTTTGCTCTTCTTTAAGTTTTTTACTAATGCCGGTGGTTCACCCCCGGGACCCCACATGAAAGGTAAAAGCTTATAGTCAACAGCTGTTACTAATCACATCTAGTTGTGACAAATACCAATTATGAATCATCTTTCTCTATTGTTATTTAAAGTGACAAATAATGACAATTTCCGATGATGACGATGATTTGCAACAATCACTACACTAACACTTGTATTGGCTATTATCGAATGTTGCAGGTCAAGATAAGCAAACAAATGCAATTTTGATAACCTAATTAATGACATATAGTGTTAATTTAGAAGCCGTTATATATTGAAGTTAAAATATGCAATAATGTCGGAATCCGCAATTAATTCTCCGGATGAAATTAACACAGCAGAAATCAAACGCAACAAATGCGGGCCAGGACTCACGTTAGAACCACCTATGCTATTTTTGTTTTTTACTGTCAGTTTGACAGGTAAGATTACGACGTAATACTCAATACTAATATACAAAGAAAATAAATTTTACAGATTTAAATATTCTGAATGTTTTACCATATAGTTTTAGTTAATTCGATATAAAAAACTTTGAGAGATTGATAAAACTTCATTTTCTTATATTAATTTGAAATTTAAAAATTCATTTAATACTGTTCATCATGTTTTGATTATTTTGTATTACATCTTATATATAATTATATTATTTTAGTATGTATTGTTCTTCAAATAATCATAAAAAATAAATACTTACATTTATGTACATATTTTAAAAACATTTTTTATGATTATGGTATTGTCCACTCTGGTAACACTTCTGTCTATCCCAATAAGAGATAAACATCACAGAAAAGTCGTGTACACGTCTGTAAAATCATTGTCAAATATTGATAACATATAGCTATAATATTAGTGCAATTATTCAAAATGACTAATTTATCATCTGTAATCGCCAAATTTTACGATGGCTACATGAACACTACACCCACGAAACTTAAAATTATCGACTCATATTTACTCTATGTACTTCTAACCGGTATAGTGCAGTTTGTGTACTGTTGTCTTGTTGGAACCTTTCCTTTTAACTCATTTTTAAGTGGTTTCATATCAACAGTTAGTTGTTTTGTACTAGGCGGTAAGTTCAGAAAATTCAAATCAATTGTCACTTACAATTTTTATTCTCAACCGAAATATCTTTTTTAGTCTGCCTGCGTCTTCAAGTAAATCCTCAAAATAAATCGCAATTCAGTGGAATAAGCCCAGAACGTGGGTTTGCAGATTTCATATTTGCGCATATTGTTTTGCATATAGTCGTAGTTAATTTTATTGGGTGAAGTATGATTGTACTTCTTCAAATTATTTTTAAAACCTTTAATAAAAAATGAAAAATGTCAAAGTGTTTTACTTGTGCAGTTTTTATTCATTATACTGTTAATATTCTGTTTTTCAAAATTATATTTAGTACTAATTAGTAAGTTACACATTACTAAATAGTAAGTTGCAAGTTACTGGTTGAGTTACTATTGGAATACAAAAGTCATAATGTGATGTTTGTTTCTGTGGTGTATAATATGATTCCATATTCATAATTAATCAAATGTCTTTTTGATCTTATTTCTGCTCTTTTTTTATATAAGTCTCTTGAAGATTTATATAATAGATATGCGCTCATATCTGAAGGAAAGACAGAAAAGCAAGAACACAAATCATATAGATTTTTGTCTGAACTTTAATTAGTATATTGTTTGTTGTTATCTTGTTTTAACAATTTCAAAAAGTGTTAAACATAACAAAGGGTACATTTAAATGCATTTTATATCTGTGCGTTTGCAAACTTTTGTTAATTGAATTATTTTATTATAAGCAGATCTTTTCTTAAAAATGCTAATCTAGGTGAAGTGCTAGCAAATGAAATTTTCTACCGAACTTGCACAGTTTCATTAGGCATAAATGAAACTGAATGCATTCCTTTACTGCATCCAAATAATAAAAGTTCGACAAATGATTTGGAAGCATTAATTCAACCAATATCTGCAAAAATTATAATGGCTCGAAGCTTAATAGATGCTTGTGTCCCTGCACTAATGAGCCTAATATTAGGACCATGGTCTGATATTTATGGCAGGAAGCCATTGATAGTTTTTCCCTTCTTAGGTAATTGTACATTTTATAAGTATATTTTAACAAACTTATATTATATAAAAAATATTAAAGGGTATATGCTCATGTATGTGATAACTGCAACGCTAGCTTCTCTTACAAATATAAGTCCTTGGTGGTATGTTTTACCCAGCATTCCTGTAGCCCTTTCAGGTGGGCAATGCAGTCTTATTACAGGGTCATTTTGCTATTTAACTGATTCGATTGAAAAAGAAAGTCGTGGAATAAGGTAATAGTTGATGAAATTTAGATTGACATTCTGGAGGTAATCAATTTTCTTTTATTTTAGAATGGGAATTCTAGAAGGTGCAATATTTGTAGGTTTGCTAATAGGTTCATTATCTGCTCCATTAATTTATAATTCATTTGGATCTGTGATAGTATTTACAATTGCTGCTATGAGTGTTCTAATAGGATTGTTTTATTGTTGTGCATTAGTGCAAGAAACTGTGATTATAGACCCTAGTTTAACGAAAGTTAGTATGATTTACATTTATATATGTTATTAGCAGGTTTAATCATAATTTTCAAATATTCAGTCTCGCATTCGGGGATTATTCGATTTCTCATTAGCTTCTGATATGATTAATGTTTGCTGTAAATCACGCCTCTATTGGGACAGAGCTATTATATGGATTCTAATGATAACATTAGGCTTTTCTATATTAGTTTTGGAAGGAAATGCAACTGTTAATTATATGTTTGTGCGTGAAAAGCTTCACTGGACTATTACAGATTTTACCAGGTTTTTATTAATACTTTGAAGTAGTTTAACATAAAAATATATGATTCATTAAGTTGGTTATTATGTTCTAGATACAATAGTGCCAGTATTATACTATCTATTATAGGAACGTGTTTAGGTATATATATTTTGAGTAAAGTTTTGGGCTGTGGAGATTTACTATTATCAATACTTTCTCAAATATCATCTGTATCGGAAGCAGTGATAAAAGCTGTAGCTTATCAAGGATGGCACATGTACTTGGGTAATCTTAATTTATAATAAGAATCGATATTGAATCGTATTATCTTGTGTCTTAATTAATAGAATTTTTAATATTTATATATAGGTGCTGCACTGTCTATGTTAAGAGGTTGCTTTGGACCCATGGTTCGAACATTTTTATCTAAAATAGTGCCAGCATCTGATATTGGTAAAACGCAATCAACTATTATTTATATTTTGATTTTATATTGCTGTTTATAATTGTTTCATTTAGGTAAAGTTTTTTTCACTTGCTACTTCTATAGAATCAGTAACACCTCTTGCTGCTTCTCCAGTGTATACAACTTTATATACAAATACATTTAAACAATTTCCTGGTGCCTATAATGTACTCACTGCATCAGTATATATGTTAAATATTATACTGTTATTGTAAGTACATTTATATATATATATATATATATATATATATATATATATATTAACTTTATTAATAATCTTATAACTGTTAATTTAATTTCTAGGATTGTGCAATATTTGATCAAAATTAAGAGATCATATGAGCAACTGAACACAAATTCTTACCATGAACAAACATGACATTTAAACCATTAATGTAATATAGATAAATTTATTCTTATCCAGAATGCTATCTAACAGCATTTGTTATCATTTGCACATATCAATGAAAATAATAGCATTTCACGCAATTAGAAGATTGATTTTATATATTTAATATATAAATCTTGAAGGAATCAAAAGCAAAGTATTTTCTTAAAAGAAGTTTATTTAATCAACTTAATAGTCACTATAAAAATTGTGTATTATCATTATATTCTAAAATATATTATTCTTGGAAATATACTAATATCAATCAGATACAAAAAAAATCTTGATAAAATAACAGTTCATTTCATTTATTATATCTATATCAACAAATATTTAAAAAAGGACCTGCTTGATTTTGTATTAAATCAATGAATGGCTTCTACCTAAAGGTACAATTCTAGATACATATTCATGTTATGAACTAGGACATTATTATATTTACATTCAATACAAATTTCTCCACTGTTGCTGATCATCAGATATTTATAACGTAATAATATACACTAACAAAATATAATTGTACATTAAAAGTCAGAGCATAATTATTTTTGTGTGGTAATTATGCATTAAAAATAATCAGATCAAATATTATTCTAATTGTTTTCTGTTATTTTTATGTTATATATTAGAGTATTTACTACAATCTATATAGTAAATATTTCTTTAATTTCTCAGGCAAAGGTAAAGTATTCACAGCTCTTGAATTTAAGTGTTGAAGAATAGCCTCTCGACAAGCGCTTTGAAGAGATGTAACTAAATAAAAATGAAAGTGAATTCAATTAAATGAAATATGACTGAACCATTTTATATAAGTTTGAATACAAGAAATAACATCTTAACAATATGATTCAAATAAAGTTTTATAAACATACTAATATAATATGTAAATACTTCAGTAATACCTCCATATAACTGCACAATTTTGACTTCTTTAGTAGTTCCATAAACATCAACTACAGCATGCAGTGGTCGAGTATCATATGGAATGTCTCTTGTACATGCACCTTGATCTTCCCCATTTATTATGAAATGCATTTCAGCTAAACTTTTATCATCTGCTGATACAACGTACATTACTCCAATTCTGCTACCAGTATCCGTTGGTAAAATATCCTAAATCATAATATTTCTTTCAAAACTAATAAGTGATTGTAGTATACAAGCAAATACCATTTTGATAAAAAAACACATATGCAACTAGAAAGAAAATGTCATTTACTTACTTGAGGTTTGCCACCTTTAGCCAAAGGCTTAAGACTACTTCTGGGTATGACACCTCTAGATGTGTGAACATTATGCCCATGTCCGAGAACTGAGCATCGGGTTTCACCATTCATAGTAGGATTGGCGTATCCCAATACATTATTATGCGTCTTTGTTATTGGATATATCCAAGATGTGCCCATGTTTGCCAAATCTGGCAGAGCATATTGTGGTAATCCACCATCACTCGCAGCTGTTTGAGGATCGAGTTGTGTTAATCCAAGACGCATATGTCCACTCCAACCTGCTCATAATTAATTATACAATAAATCACAAAAAAACATGATATTGGTTTTCAGCAATCATTTACCTCTTTCATTTTTTTCAATTTGTAAGAGAAATATTTCTCCAGGCATTAAAGGTTTTTCACTAAAAGTTAGAGCATTTGCAAAGCTAGTTTTACGATATGCTACTGTATTATCTTCACATAAAACTATATTAGCACCATGATATGGGTGAAATCTGGACACCATTGTTAATAAGAAATTATTTCATATTTTTGCAAAATGCTATCAAAAAATTATCTTGTTTAATATTAATTAACAAAACCTTTCATGTTTCGAAAATTATAGTATAATCATGAGAAATTATAACAGAAGAGTGGTAATAATAAAATAAACATTTATATATTTCAGTGCCATACTTCACTAATGTCAACAGTTGTTATCATTTGAGTTTTGGCAGTTTTGTAATGGTTTGACACCTGTCTTCAAACCAAAGATATTAATATAAAAATTTATGTAAAATATTTATGTATATACACTTACAAAATATTAAATTAAGTGACTATGAGATACATAAATATTTGCGTTTAAGTTAATTACATATTGTTATGTTTATGTGTAGATAAACATGAACATAATTATATTTACGGTAGGGTCTGGGTGGTACGATAAATAAATATGACATTTGATGACAGATGATGCCTGTCAGAACTACCTTCAGACTGTAGCTTATTATATTGTCTAGGCTTAAAATGCATGGAGAGGTGTAAATTGAAACCTGTGGTAAAGAATTTTCTTTTTTTGGTTATATTTTTTATAGACGTATGTATATTTATATGCATTTTATATGTCTGATCATACCAACTATCCGTTCTTTTTCTTTTTATTGTATTATAAACGTAATATCAAATTTTCTGTTGTAATGATTGCTGAACTTTTGACAGTTACTGCACACAATGTCTGAAGATATTATACTTGAAGGATTTTTATGTCCTATATGCAAACAGGATTTGAGGAATGAATATCAGTTGACATCACATTTTGAAAAAAGTCATTCTGAACAACAAGACTTAGTCCAAGTGTTCAAAGGTATATTCAGCTCAGCTAAGAAGAAAATACTAAATGAAGATTTATTTTCCAATAATACTCATGCATGGGCACAAGAAGTACCAAATCAAAACCTAGGGCAGATACGTTCCCATTCTTCATGGTTTAAAAATGTACGGTAAGTATTCCTTTTCTGCGGGTTTTATTACTTAATTTTAAATTATTTCTTTTACAGAAATGCAAGACTTGAACGTTATGCAGTAGAAACAAATAAACTTCTTATCCGTCTGGACAAGCTTTTAACAAATATTCCTGTTGATAAAACTGCACGAAAACAACATGAACAGGAAGTAAACATTTTTAAATTTCTATAATTATGTTTTATTTTTAACAATAATCTGTTTCTTTAAAACATAAAATGGCTATTATTTACATAGATTTTCTATTCTTTAGGTAATAAATTTATTTTTATAGCTAATTCATCTGTTGTAAGTTGATATTTTTAAGATAAAACATGTTTTTTATTCTTTAAGTAATAAAATTATTTTTAAGGTAGTCCAATGGTTAGATGGCAGCTTAGTTAAGTTGTGTCCTAGTTGTACAAAATCGTTTTCCTTTACTAGACGACAACACCATTGTCGATTATGTGGTGCATTGCAATGTCACGACTGTTGTTTTTTTCTGTCATTGGAAATTGCTTGTGAGTTTCTTCAGTTTTAATCAACTTCATATATTTAATACTATAAAAAGGAGTGCATGTTTTAATTGCATCTATTTTCAGTGTCGATGACAAATCCAGAACTAACTACAACGCCAGCAGTATTAGTGGAAGGTCCAGGTTTGAGACTATGTGGACATTGTTTTCATTTATTACAGACTAGAAAACATATGCAGGATACTCAAAAATCTAGACCACCAATAGTTAAATTATATGAACTACTAAGAGAGACTGTCCTAACTACTTATCCAGATATTGAATTGTTTTTCAAGGTAATAGTTTGTGTGATTAATGTTTTCATTTGTTGTAATTGCCTTATTAAAAAAATTTATGAATTATTGTTTAAGATCTTTAATTTTAGTATTTAATTTAAATCTTTTTAGTATTTTGATAAATATTCTTATATCAAACATAAATTATGTTTGCAAATGATATTGAGTTTAAATAATTAAGTTCTTGTTATATATAATATAAATATGATTATTTGTTTGTATATTTGCATAGATGTGTAATTCACTAAATGAAGGGGAAAGTACATATTGCTTGCAAGATGCAGATACATTGCGATGTCATATCGGACAAAGAGGATCAAATGTTGAGAAAATAGGAAAAGCTATTGCTTCACTTACATGCCCAGAACAATATGTTTCTACTAAACTTCTGCATACAGCAGTGCATCAATCAGCTATGATGTTTCTAAAAGTGTGCTGTTATTAATATTTAATCAATTTCTCAATAACTTGATCTAAAATTCAATTTTAGGATGAAGTTTTGTCTTTACCTACTTTACCTACAAAGAACAATATGAATATTTTAAAGAGAGAAAACGTAAAGAGACAGAAGAAGCTATAGAAGCAGAACGAAGAGCTGTTGAAAGAAAATTAGATCTTATAAAAGTTAGTCAAGATTTTAATAGTTCTGCTAATGGAAAAATAGTGGCAACTCATACAGCAAGAACATTGATGACTCCTCAACAAGTATGTTTTTTAAAATTTTATATGTGAAGGATGTTACCCTTATTTGATATTTTTATTCAGAATGGTGTTCTGGAAGAGGGATGGACCGGTTTACAAGCCAGTGGAAGCAATAGTTTACTTGGTGCAGAAGCTGATGATCCTGTCATACAGCAAATTAATATTATACAAGGATATATTCGTCAGGCAAGAGAAGCTATGAGGTTTGAAGAGGTAAGAAAATATGAGTTGTTCAAATATTATTTTAATAGTATGAGTAAAAATTGTGGCAACTTTTCAAAGAGCAATACAAGGTTTAAATTAATTTATTAAAGGTTGCAACGTTAGAAGCAAATCTCAAAGAACTCAAAGAAGAATTTTATAACCGCTCAAAAGCTGTGTCATAGTTATAATATTTAATACTGTGATGATTTATTTAACATAATTACTATATATAGTTATTATATATATATATGCACTTCTTGTGATGACTATAGTTGCTTTGACATTAAAATTATTTATTTAAAAAATGAAAAAATATTTCACTGTACAGGATTATTATGGCATATTAAAATCTGTATTAAAAATATCTTTGATATAATTAATAAATAAAAGGCAAATGAGATTTTAATTCTAATATTATAAATAATGTGTAACAATCGAAATAAGCATGATTATTAATGTCTTTACACATACACATTGTATTAAATATTTATATATATTATATATAAATATATATATATATATATATATATATATATAAATATTATATAAAAATAACAGTATAATGCCATACAATCTACATGAAACATTTTAAATATTTTACCTTAATATTAATTATTCTAAATTACTGTTAACTTTTATTTTTAATCAATTCATTTACAAGTTTTATTCGATAATGTGAATTTGGAAATCATTTCATTGCATGTAAAAGTCACTGAGATTTTCATTTTAAATTATTTTAAAATTTCAAATGTAATTAGAATTTACTTTGTGCAAATTTTCATATATTACAAAGAAAATTAAATCTATTAATATTTAAATTTAATCAACTTCTAAGATACTGAATATAACTCTCGTAAAAACTGTACATAAATAAGATAGATGTTTAAATGAATCTTTATTCTAAATTTTAAATCTTAGTCATCATAACTGAAGTCTTGTACATCATATGTATGTTGAACTGGCCTACGTTGTTGTAAAGGAATGTTCACTTCTTCTGGTGAGCGAAATACTTGTGAAGGAGCTTGTCTGTAAGATGCTGATGTTGCAGTACTTTGTTGTAATTGTTGTTGTTGGGGTTGATGTTTTCTTGACGGCAAACCTACTTGTAGCTATGAAAAATGATTGATGGTGCAATTAATTGTTTAAGTATTTTTATATTTAGTTTTTTGAAACATCACTTAAAAAAATGTTATAATGAAAAGGCAGCAGTATCTAGCTAAATTTGATGTAAATTTTTATGCTTCTAAAATAATCACTAATCAACTGAATGCAACACTTTGTAATTGGCTTCTCGAAAACTAATATTTTGTAAAGATTCATTTCATTTATCTTCTCAATATTATGTATTTACCGGTTGTCTCTGGTGCGTTCTGTCTGATGCTCTATCTGGAGACTGATGTACAGTTTCAGGATAATATCTGTCTGCATATTTCAAACTGGTGTTTGGCCTGGAGTTAGCTTCATCTTCATTTAGAGGTTTATACAGGAAATCATTTACAAAGTGATATTGTGAAGATTGTTCACAAATGTTTTCTGAAGAAGGTGGCATACAAATTAGATGAACCTGAGGAAAATGAAAATTATCATTATTATAATTTCTAGATCTTGTTTGGTCATTTTAACATCAGATAAATCATTGCAAACTTCGGATGAATTATTTACTGATATTGTTCAAAAGCAATTATGTGTCCAATACAATTAAGTTTACATTGTGAAAATTGCATAATATTGTGCTTTATGATAAAGAATAAATATCATCCTCTGTTCAGTAATGCTATCCATGAAAATCAAATTTTTACATATGCTCCAATAACAATTTATCAGTCTGTGGTAATACTGCCGTTTGTTTGAATCATAGGTTTATGAAAATATTAATTTTGCCAGGAAATATCTTAAAAAAAATTTATTAACCTGGTGAAACGAAAATCCTTCTGGACAAATCCAAGAATGTTTTGCGCCTTCTTGGCAATAATGAAAAACTTCACAGGCAAGCCCTTCATCTGCGTAGTATCCGGTCGCTCTTCCTTGGCAAGTGAAGGTAGAATCAGGTAATAGTAATGATAGGCGATCTGGTTCTTCTATTTCCTCCTCTTCTTCTAAAAGCACTTTTTTACTATCCTACGATTAATACATGTGGGTTAAGTATGTACAAACCTTCAGATATTATTCAATTGACATTGTATTTGAAATTAAAGTAGGCAAACCTTTGTTTCATATTGATTTTTTGATTGGAATTTCCTGGGCGGATCTTGCTCGTAAGGCCTTCTGTATGATAAAGACGCTTGGGGTGCTGTGTCTTCATTTACATCATCTTCAGATTGTGTAACGCGATGGTACTGAACACATAATAATTATTTATATTTAATAAAGCAGAAAAGTAAACGTTTGCAACATTTAACGAATACTTAAATTATATTTTTTAGTATCATTTGTGACTAATTCTAATAAGAAAGCATTTTGTGAAGAATTACCTGATTATTGGTTTGTAATTGATTTTGAGATCCTGCTTGGACTGTATATCGAGCACCGCGTATTATTATTTGTTGCTGTTGTTGTTGTTCTTCAGGTTTGTAACCCCCTTGCGCCGTAACCGCTACCGTAACGGCAGATAAACACAGTAGCAAAAGATTCATTCTGCACAAAAAGATATAGGATTATTGGATAATATATTATTAATACAATGTATTATTCTTCTTTGCATATCTTTAAAAATATTGATTTGTGTGTGTATATATGTATGGATGCATTTTTTCGTCCATGATTTCGGGCGCACGGATCAACCGATTTGAATAATTTAAAAACCATTCGATTCCTACTGATGAGGAGATGTGCTGATTAGCTTTTGACAAATACAAGTCTAGCTTTTTCGAAAGAGGGTTTTTGAAAGAACGAAGCATCCGATTAGAATGATTCAAAAAACATTCAGTTCGTAATGATAGGAAGAAGTGGTGATTAGTTTTTGGCAGAGCCGTTGCGGAGATACGAAGCGTCCGATTTGAATGATTCAAAAAACCTTTATGATTATGTTTACAAACCGATTGTTTTTTGGGTAAAGACATTTTTTTCGATTTTAAATTTTAATTTTTTTTTTAAATATCGAAAATATTTTGTTTTTTATTTTTAATACTAGCTGAAATTATACGCCGCCTATATACCTCAAAAATAATTTTAACCTTACAGTTCAGTTTATATAATTATCAGAAAAATGAGAGAGGATCCTTTGTTCTGTACAGTATTTATAATAATATACTTGAAAACATTTAATATTATTCGAATATTTTCTTACGGTACGGGAAGTTCGAGCAATTTAGCAAAATAAGTAAAAGAAAATTATGCATAATTAACCATAATGCTGATATAATAATATTTATTATATAATATATTATTATATATTATGGTGATTTATAAAGTTGGTCATACTGTCATGTTAAGTTATGGTTAACCTTTTTTAAGATATTGGTACGTCTGATTATACCGACCATTTGACATTTCAAATCGCAAGTTTACCTATTTACTAATTTGCCAATATTTATTGATATTTATATTACTTTTGCAATATTTTTTATAAAATAAATTCTTGTTAATCAGAAATGAATAATTTAGAAGACGTGTTTTCAAGTTTATACACTTTAGACTTATCACAATTGTTGAGTAATTCGCAAGTGAAAGAATTTTTTGAAGAGTTGCATAAAAATAACAGTATGCTTGAAAGTGATGAATTAAAAAAGGAAAGGGAGTCGCCGCAATGTATTTTAAACGCAGTGAATTGTATTGATGAAAATTACAATTATGCAGTTAGTTCCTGCCAAGAAACTAAAAATTCAAACGTTGATAATTATAATAATGAAATTGAAAGATTGACATCTAACAACTGTATTGCTGCTGTTATGGATATATATACTAATCACAAATGTTCAATGGAGTGTAGTTCTGAAAATGTTTTTTGTTTTCATGAAAATAGGAATAATTTTATCGACAATGAATTCAACATGTTTAATGAAGGTAATAATAATACTGATTTTCAAGCTTTAAGTAATGATTGCTCTTCAGAAAATTATGATTACAACTCTTGTTCCGAAATCGAAAATTTATATGATAGTGATATTGAAAAATATATTGAGAATTGGGAAATGAGCACTTATATTTCGAATGAAGAAATTAAACTTGAAGACTTACAAGAGGTTGAAACTTATAAAAATGTGGATACAATACCAGGAAATGAAATAATAGAAAATTTGTAATGAGAAGAAAATATAAGGTATTTAATCAACAAAAATCTAGCCTTTAATTATTAAATATAACACTTGTACTTCATGTTAGATTTTTTAATATAATTTTCAACTTCCCAAAGGAGAAGTTTATGTTTTCATCAAAAAATGCGATTCGCTAATTTTATGTTTTCTCGACGTTTCAAGCCATTCTGAATCGAATGAGACCAAATTTGGAAAAAGTATGTGTGTGTGTGTGAACAGTTTTTTTTGCAGTAAATAGATTCCATTAAATCGACTCTCTTCTCGCAGAAATTTGAAAATTTTGTATAAGCTCAGTAGTATTATTTACAATCATACACAAAATCCTGAATCAAAAAAGAATCTGAAAAACTTGAAACGTAATCAATATGTCGAAAGATCAAAAATGACTTGAATTGGATTATACCATGTTTTCTATAGAAAGTGTATAAAACTTCCAGTTTGATTGTATTGATAAAATATAGACAAATTAATGGGGTTTATAGCATTCAAACAATACATCCTTATACACTTAAAGTATAAATATTTTTGATTCTCTAGAAATTGTTTAGAATATACCTTACTTAGCAAAACAACGTTTGCCGGGTCAGCTAGTATGTAATAAAACCACTTATAAATTAATTTATTTTTTATTGATTAAGTCGATTATTTACAAATATCGGGAAGTTCATGTAACTCGCCTCAAGGCTAAATACCAATACCAACTAGTTTAATATTTAAATCATCCAAAACTGCATCGTAAACTTCTCCTAATTAACAGGACATGTTGAATGTATTCATCTTTACTTTCGCATCGTATATCAGATTGCTGTTTTAAAGTTAAATTTTTAACGTATGTTAAAAGTTTTGTTCAAAGATTAGTAAAAGATATAAAGAAATTATATATTTCTCGAATGATATTGAAAAAACTATGTTATAAATTTCATATACGAATCTCGTGTTGGCGCCCCCTAAGGCGTGCGTTCGCATTCCAGGTAGGACCAGGCTTGTGTATATCACATAATAAAGTTTTTATGATACCCGGTAATTTATAATAATTGAGACGAATATTTTGCATAATTTAAAACCGTACTTAGATCTCATATAGAAACAATAATAATAACTGTGGTTATTACGTGGTCATACATATATGTATGCAGCTTTACGATCGTAAATTGTGTTTGCTGCAATCATTTACAGTAAATAAAAAAAGGAATAAATAAATGTTGTTCACATGTGCAATAGCGGCTAGTGAAAGTAAACGACATATTGTGAGCCTATATGCACGTATGCATTTCCAGTCGAGACCACGCGTATAATAACATTTAGATCCGAAGTAGAGGCCTCTGATACTGAACATTAATTGATAATCAACTAGTGGGGTGCATGGCATCGCGCCTTAAGGCAAATTGCTGGAACTTACCGTACCGTAATTAAAAATCTCCAAAAAAAAATTACATAAAATGTGTACACATTATTAAAATCTCTACAAAATATCTGATAATTTGATGTACATGTGCCCAAGAAACATTTTTGACTGCCAAATGACATTTTTTTAACTTATTTTTATTGAGAGTTTATAACCGCTGGACCTGCCTTCCCAAAAGTTTAATCAGTTCTTGTCAATACAAGTAAATTGTTTTTTGAATTATTAAAATCGAACGCTCCGTGCCCCGTATCTTCAGAACGGCTAGACCTGCCTGTGCTAAAAACTAATCAGCACGTCTCCTTATCAATTTGAATCGAATGTTTTTTGAATAACTGAAATCGGTTGAACCGTGTTCTCGAAATCGTCGACGAAAATTTGTATCCGCACACACACACACATACATCCATTTTTTCTAAGGTAAATTTGCATACACACACACTCAAACATCTATTTTTTCTAAGGTATGCCAAAATGTTCAGAAACCTCTGAAACGTGAAGTTACATAAAAATTTTCATTTTCGATTTTTTTTGCTGTTACTATAACTTATTCTAAAGTTAAAAAATGCTATTTGGCGGTCAAAATGGTCATTAGACATATGCAAATCATATTGTCAGATATTTTATATAGATTTTTATAATAAATACAAATTTTGATTACATTTTTATGGATTCCGTACTAAGATTGATAATGTTTAACAGTAGAAATGCGGCGCGTACGCGCTTCTATATTTCTCCTCTAACACAGCAATGCAACGCGATCGCTTTGAAATATAGCGATTCAATATTTGTACTTCAACTTTTATTAAATGCTTTTGACCTTTATATATTGATTTTTATGAATAGAGTTAAACGAGTTAAATTGTTATTTTAAAGTTAATAGTGTTATAACCGAAAAATAAAATTTTATTACAATTTGTAAAAAAAATGGATGTATGTGTGTGTGTTTGTGTATGTATATTTGGATACAATTGTTTATCCACGATAGTTTTATTGGGAAAAGATAAGTAATTGATAAAAATAAATAAAACAGGTAAAGATGTTTTTATACCAACTTTCTTTTTTGTTATAAAATTCTTGAACTGTGTTATTAAAGGTGAATGATATAAATATTTTATTCATAAGTAAATCAAGTCGTTTTATTAAAAGTATATTTTTATTTGCTATGATAATTCTTTCTTCATGTGACATTAATAAATGTCACTTGAAATCTAGAATATCATGAATTTTAATGGATACTACATAATACAATTTTTTAATAATCCTGTATTAATTAGATTATATTAATGCTCAAATGAATGCCAACAATCTTTACTCTTGGACGAAGAGGAAATTTTTGATCAACATTTCTAATTGAGGATTTTTGTCTCTAATTCTAATTTCAGAAATTCAACTATCCTTAGTAGGGTTTATACAAAAACCGACATTTCTCAAAACCGGTTTTCGAATTTTAATTTTACCAGAAAACCGGTTTTAACCGGTGTACATATATACACTGGTATAAAAATCTAAATAAATATAAACATTAGACAAAAAATAATACAAAACCTTTCTGGGAACCATAGCAAACTGATAAGATTCAAGATGCTATTGAACCGATATGATTCCAAGAATCAAAACGCTTGCTACTATCTTTTATATTTGGCTATATTTATCATTTTTTATTTATACAGTGAAAACCGGCTTTTTCTACTGAACACCCGGTTTTCGAATTCCATAATTTTCGTCAAAAAACTGGTTTTTAAAACCGGTTTTTGAAAACCGACAAACTCTAATCCTTAATAAAGCAATTTGTCATGCTGGTTTTTATTTTTCATTAATTACTCTACTTTCCAGTAATACATTATTTTCGATTGTCATAATCCAGATTGCCAGAGAAATATATAACAACAAATTCCAATGGAATTTTAATTGATTATTCGACTTAAAATAAATTATTACGTGACCGGTATGCAGTCACACAACGTCGATGGTGCGAA